AGAGATAAGACTCCCAATGCCCATGTATACACAACAGAACAAACAATCATTGGTATATTGGTATAATATTAAAAAGCAAGGTTTTAGGCGCTTGTAGGGTCCTCTGACAATCAGAAGAATCGACCGCCACGGTTCAAGCGGTTAACGGTTAATTAAAACAAAGCATCATAGCCGTTAAAAAAATTTCAGAAAAAAAAAAACAATTACTTTGCACACCTGGAAGTATAATATTTGATGATAACCCCAATTTGTCACTTCGATACAAATTTAGACTTGTAAAATTAAAATACACAACGGCCACAACAAATATATATTGCAAAAAATGTAGTAGTTCCATTGCATACCAAAATTTGAGTGGAAATACGAATTTTTGTCTAAATATATTACCGAGCTTCCATGTGGACCCAGGGGGTGTCGGTTTACCCACTCGTTAGGACTTGTCAATGGGGTCCTATCGCGCTCCAGTAATGTCTGAAACGCCCTATGCCCATATTACAGAATAAGACTAAAATAAATATCACGACCGAACTGGGGATTGTAAAACACACCCTGCAAATTCTGAGACCTTTACAAAAATAGGAAAATACATCAGAAAAATGTAACATTTCATACAATATCAGTAAACATAAAACAGTGTTATTCACACATTATAGTTATTCAAGTATTAAAACGTTTAATTTCTGAATTATAAAAGAAGGCACCGACATTCAACAGTAATTTCAAAAAGTTAATGAAAGGAAAATGGAAGATTACTTCAATTGACTACCTCATCACCGGATTCTGCCAACAATTTTGTACGATATAAGCCGAATAAATATTGTCTAATCATGGTCGCGATGCTGCTTTGTTTTTCCCTCCCGTCCAGGTGCCCACCAATCCCCAGAACCCCCCAACCCCCTCCCAACAGTTATATATTTTTTTGTGTCTTGTTTATTTTTTGTTTTTGTTTTTATTTTGTTTGTTGGTAAGAAAGTTGTAACAGACAAGTATGAAGATACTTTTGAAGAAGAATAGACAAAACCATGCCGGCCTGGTTTGTCATATGATGATTTCATGATGATGAGAAGATGATGAGAAGATGGTGATATCGAAGATGATGATATCATAAGATAATGCGTGGTTGATAATGAGATATGAAGTCATAAATTAGATTTGTATTATGGCAGCATCAACAACTATGAAAAGACTGGTTTTTAATAATAAAAGTCTAATCAATTGATTTCTATTTCCTGTCGGCAGAATCCTTAATTTAAAAGAAATGGTATCAAAAATGAGTAAATAAGACAATAATGAGGTATTTTATTATGTTTTAAGTGACCATTTGTGATGTTCTCAATAAGGCAGTATTGACATTATATGACAAATAAGTTGATTAGATTGACGTTGCCTTCATACCAAATTATTCTATAAATACAGAAATATATGTTAAAAAATAGAATAATGGGAAAGAATAGGAATTTAAAATACAAATAAATACGAAACAATACTTTGATAAACATCAATATAACAAAAGAAATATTATTTCATACATCAAATGTACAATTTTAGCGTAGTAGTTATACAGTTAGGAATGGTAATTTATGCGTTCTTATATTGTTTGCATTCATATTATTAGCAAATTTTTGATAATGAGTCATACATACAAATCATATTATTTTCAGTCTCTTTTATATTAATGACTTTGGTCTCAAAGGTGCCAGATTCCAATGCATTTGTTCGTAATCACATAATTACTTTCATAGTTGCATACTTGAGGTGGATAAATATATATGGTGAATGAATTCGATTCCATAATTAAAACCTATAAATATTGAGAAAATTAGTCACGATAGTTACGATACCTAGCTTTAATATATAATAGAATATAGGTATAAGATGGATGATTAATTGCTGCCATTTGATCTCAAGAGTGGTAACTGTGCCTTTACTACATAAGATTAGTTCAAGAACGAACCACGAATAATATGCTTTATTCCATTAAATAAAAGTTGTAAATACCCTATTTTAGCAAATCCATTAAAGGCTATGCAATTATATACGTATGTTAAACCTTGCCATTCAAAATATATTATACTCTACAAACTTCTGTCAGTTTTTTGAATTTCCATTGATAAAAACACTCAATTTGAATTAATTCATTTTCAATTTCCCCTTGCAATAAAAATAATAAAAAGTCCCCAACCATTTAATTTTATTTTAAATTTTTTATATAAAGATCCACTTTTTTTAATGAAACAGTCATACGCTGATTTCTTATTTTTCAATTTACAAAAATTACAGTGACCAATGGAATATCCCACACATGTTATCACGCGAAATATACGATTAATTATTTTAGGGCATTGAGTTATTGTTAATATTTGTTGGATGCAATATTTTACCTTATTGTTGTTGTCTTCTTAGTCGTCGTTTTCTATTTTGAATCGGGAAGTTTTTATCTAAAAATAAATTGAATTGAAAAACGATTCAAAACAAATGAATCACTTAATTGAAGATATTGTTAGCATATTTATTTTACTTCACTGTGATTTTATTGATGGACTAAAAAAAATACATTAAATATTTCCGTGGTAGAATAAACCGCCGATTATATACAGCAGTGATGTTGGCAATTATTATTTACCGCCAGTAAAATTTGGAAGTTTATTTTTAAATATATTTACACTTAAGTCAGTTTCACTTACTCCAGACTGCATTATTTGTTAGTTTGTTTTTGTTAACCATTCTTTCAATTTTCTTTGAATCTACAACTTTCAATTATTGATAATATTTTCAATGTATTACATATTACCTACTTGCTAATACTTATTTTTTGAATGTCACGTTTCAATTAAAACCGTTTGGACCAAAATTCAATTATTCACAGTTATTTGTTGAAATATAATATTTGGTAGACCCGTAGTATTTGCACTGCACAAGGTTAAGATTAGGGCATAATTTTTTTTTGATTTTTTTTATTTTAGTTTTATTTCGAGTTTGAGACATCTTTCTTTGAACTTATTCTTAAAATAAATGCTATTTTAAAAAGTATTCAATAGCAGTTTTGTGAATTGAACTAATTAAAAAAATTACTCAATTGAATTAATAAAATTTGTTAGTACTTTTATTTTTTCTATCCTTGAACGTCCTGGAACAATTTTTTAGGAAAATCTTCTTTCACAATGTATTGCACTTGAAAACACTCCGTTGTTGTAAGTGATTCATCATGTTTTACCTAGAGTATTTGCTGAGTGTTATGTTTCATTTGAATATGTTTTACACCAAAAAAGTCAGTTATGACAATAT